TTTGTTGCCTTGTGCTGGCAGGTGCTCACCCTTGCTGTTACCAATAATTCAGCGTCTCTGAAAAGAACCATCAAAAAGTGGACGCTGAGCCCTGTTTGTAGCGGAAAAGCATCTTGCAAAGGGGCCATCTTCATCCATCCTCCACTTCGATCGTTGTTTCAGGGAGGGAAAAGCGTAACCTTGCTTTCGTCATTTTCGATTAGTCCGTTACAAAAGAAAGAAAGAAGAAGGGTATGCGTCTTCCCAGGGAAGCGGTTGATCTCCCTTCAGAGATTCAGAACGCATCATTTTGAAGAAGGCGAGGAACAAGAAGGCTTCAGTTTGCTTTGTGGCATTTAGTGTGTGAATCTCACATCTGCACGAACAAGCATCTCTCAAAGAAATCTTCAGACACACTGGTCAGAAAGAACTCATAAATAGCCCATGAATACTGGGTTTTTTATTCGCTAGTCGTCCTTCTTCCTGCGTTCCTTCGCGACTCCAGGTCGTGTGGGTGGGCGCCTCATGGGATTGGTCACGAAGCGAGACTTGGAGGACATGCCCAGGACCGACCTGCTCCCCAGCGTGGACCGGTCGCGACCCCAAAGCGGATGGACCGTTGAGGGGAGACCCAGAGGGAAACCGGAGATCGGGATCGACCCCGATGAAACCTCCAGGACATCAAGTGGGATCAATCTCCATGTTACCCCACAAAGCCATGTTAGTATATGATTAGTATAGTTGTGTTCCTCACACTACGAGACATGGAGACGACCCACTTCCTCCTTTCAAAAGCCCGACCCTGACTCCGTGCGGCCACCGTGGACCCATCGTCCGTGGACCGTGACTCGTCGAAGTCAGTGGCTGTTGGGTTTGGATGTCGCTGCAGGGTCCGGGACACCGGTTGTCTCGAAGCGGTTGAGATGCAATCACCCTCTGCAGGACTGCAACATTGCAATCACTGATGAACCGAGATGTGGCCAGAAGCACAGCGGTGACAGGAGGTAAACTCCGGGACATAATTGCGAAATATGTCCAATGGATGAAGAGGAATGGCTTGGTGGTGTGTGGTGCGCAGTTTCTGAGCCAAGCACACATCCGACAACATCAGCTCATCCAAGCACTAAATAGATCTGACATATTCTGACAATGCTGAAGCTGTGTTGAATGTATATTACATGATATCCGTATGTTGAGAAACAGATTCACACAGCAAGTTCTGACACATCTCAAAACATGTTTTTTGTTAGTTATTAACCTTGTCGCGTCAGAAGGCAGTCGTCCTGAGCATGGGAACATGGACCCTCGTTCTTCAGTCGAAGGATGTCGAATGGTTTCTGAGGGTTGGGGGAAGAGGACCAAATTTGATGTCTGGACATGTCTGGACCAAATCTCGCTGGGACTCCCACCAGAGTCTTGAACTAGCAGCAAGAACGATGGATGTGCTGAGATATGCATGTATCGAAATGGTGGGATGGCCTATATAAATGTTCTTGAATGTTTTGTCATGTTCAACATGGATCTCCAAGAGAAACCATCCTATATGAATCCTATTCAAAGAAATCCAGACGGAACCTCTGTTCATTCAGTCGGAACCTCTGTTTCGGGGATCCCATCATCTTGAGCTCCCCATTGAGCCCTACGGCAGTAAGGAAGAAACGGGCACAATCTTCATCTCCCTGGCAGCATACACAGCCAGATCACTCACGAAGATCCTCAGCTGGCGCAGAGAGTCACTTCCACACATGGTCTTCATCCACATATTGCTTCATCCCCTGGACCTCCGCACCTCCTAAGATCCTTCCGACCATTGTGAAGGTCCGGCCCGGATCGACCCTGGTTCTGCCCCGGTTGTGACTCTCGGAAATCTGGGCTCGAGGTCACGAACGATGGCCCTCTTAGGCGGGTCACAACTGGTCATCTCAAAAAGTCACGAAAGGAAGAAGCTACGATGATTTCTTTGGTTTCTACTACTTGGTATGAGATTCTACTACTTGGTATGAAACCTAAGTCGGCAATCTTGCACCACCACCCCTGCGATGTTGAACGTAGAACATGTCCCAAAGTCCTAGGGTCATCCTATGTCATCCTGGAGTAGATAGAATATGGACATTCACAAACCAACAGGAAAGTGGTCGTGTTGTTTGATTGGTTCATATTCTGTCTACTCCAGGATGCTTGTGTATATACATGTAATTGATTATAATTGTAATATACAAATATAGTGATATCGATACATCGATCAATTGACATACATCGACCAATTGAGAGGGACCTTTTGGGTCATGACACGTGTCGGTCACGCTTGGACACGTGTGGGTTTTTCACACCGTCTCGGCCGACCTTTGAGCGAGCCCAGGTCTTTGCCGAGGAGCCTGTGACGCTCAAAGAGGCGCATGTGGCCATGCAGCAAGCGAAGGCACGAGACGAAACGCAGCATGCAAGCTGACGTCGCGAAGACGAATCCGAAGATGACATGTTTGCGGCCAGAGATTCTAGGCCAAAAGAAGTGGGGAGATCAGGAGATCCCCTCAAAAAAACGATGCGTTTGAAGTCCTTTCACCAATTTCATGGAGAAGCCAAGTAATGATTCACCAAGGGGAATCGACAAGGCACCTGCTAAGTGTCCACAACGACCAAAGTGGTTCTGTACCGATTGTTTGTAGAAGTGCTTTTGTTCAGTTCGTTGTTCACGTTAAGTAACATGTACAGTGGTGTGACATGGTCAAGAGATGCTCATCGCATCAGATCTTTTGATGACCATTTCTGGCAAAACCTCCACGCATCTCTTACCAGAGGATGTTGAAAAGTATGATGACCAACGTTTGACAGTGAGGATCTGACGCTGGAGAGAACGCCATGCAGCCGCAATCCGGGGCTCAAGGTTCGACAGATTACTATGTTGACAAAATATGTCATATAATATGTCATATAAACATGATTAGATTATACATGTATATATATATATCGGCAATTGTTCAGCTAGCACCCATTGGCACTATCACTATATTTGTTTGCAGCACCCCTACAACAATATAGTATATCTACTCATGTCCAAAGATATCTACAGATGTCCAATTGATCAATGCTACATAACCGGCCGACCTCTAATTTCCCACATCCGGCTACCGGTGGTAGGACTCCCTCGCTTTTGCCAGGTCTCAAAGCTGCCGGTGCTGAATAAGGACCAGGAGCTGGTGGCTCTCATTTGCCCTGCGCCAAGAGAGCAGCAATGTGTTTGGGGGCGGTTTTATGTTGTGTTGTTTCTGATGTTTGTGTCCCTGTGGGCAACCAAAAGCAAAGGCAAAAAGGTGTGTGTGTGTGTGTATGTTTTTGTTGGGTTTGCTGTGTGAAGACTTGCTACACAGAATAGACTTGTAATTGGGTACCCAGTGGAACGTCTTTTCAGGTGAGTGTCTCTTAAGACTGGCTATTCAGTGTGACTGCTGAAGGAGAGGGACAACAGTTTGACGGAAAAAAACACGTTTTAAACATGTTAATTCTCCTTTCCCAAGTCAAGGAGTCTTGGTACAGCTCCTGGTCTTGGTCAGGCATCCGATGTCAGATCCGGTGAAGCGATGTACTTCGAAGTCGGTGATCTCCGCATGTGCCAACTGCGAGAAACTGCGAACTGGTGGTTGGTTATAAGATCTTCCTACATGTTCCCACCTTTGAAGCTTTCACCAATTCTGACTGTCAGGAGAAACGAACGGACCATTTTTCTCGTCAGCTCCTGAGGTCGAGGGGACATGAAGCAGGTGAAGCGACATCCACACGCCTCCAGAGATGCTAATAGGCGCCCTGGGTGGGCGGAAGATCTTTAGGGTATGGCAATTGGTTGGTGTATCTATATATTATATTTGCATACGTTTGCATGTATTTTTTGAGCAATGAGTGGGGATTTCTGGTGTAATTACCATCTCAAATTTGCTTGTTGACCTGTTTATATGTCAAATGACAAACCCGCATAAGCAAAAAGTGCTCAAGGTTGAAAGAACTGGCATGTTATGCATTGAATGCTCAATGCAATAAGCTGCATATGCCTCAACCAAAACGTCTACGAAGCGGTCGAGCCCAACGTGTCTTCTCATCCAGCCAAGTCGTGAGGTCAACTGGGACGGGCCCCTTTCCTTTCGTTTCGTCGGTCTTCGTCGATGTCCGGACATCGGAAGACCTACCTACCGATGTCGGTCGCTTCGCCGGACATCCGAGTCGGCGAGTCACGAGTTGGGCGTTTTTGAACGGTGCAGGGATGTGCAGGGTCATGATCTTCCATGTGGGTAACAGAGAACTGATCGTCCGCGGATGGACGGTCAAGAGAATGGGTTCATCGTCGGCAAAAAGATCAGAAAAAACCTGGGAAAGCACAGGCCTGCAAAAGACAGGCCTTGGCTATAGGAACATCACCACTCTACAATATGCTACAGTCTACAAAAACTGAACTCCAGGCCACCCGGCCAACCCCCCGGCCAACCCCTCAGCCACAAGTGGCACATCTTCGCTCCTGAAGGGTCGGTAATGTGCGGTTCTGCACCTGGACGCACCGAGACGGTGTCTTTGCTTCTTGTTACGTTCGTAGCGAGGCACCTTGCTACTAGTAGTAGCTTGTTGCTACTAATTCGTAGTAATGCACTTAGTTACTTGAATTCATTCTGTGTGGCAAAAGAAAATTCAGCCGTTGTCACATGGTTTTTGTGGTGTCCTTTCAGAAATGCCACTTCGCTGCTTGGCAGAGCTTGCCAAAATAGTGGTCGGACAAGTGACCGTTTGCTTGTGGAGGTATGGACCCTGAGTGAACATGGTCCACAGTGCTACAACTGCCGCTCCTAAGATCTCCCAAGTACGTCATCGGTTCTTCCGACGTCCCCGCCGCGCCACGCGGAGCCACGCGGAGCCACGCGGAGCCACGCGCTCCCACCCACCCTCCCCAGCCACGCGCTTGGCTGGGCCTTCTCCTAGGCAACTGATGGTGGCCGCGGCGGTCAGCCCTAATGAGCCGAATGCCTGGGACCGGGTGCAGGCCAGCGGCGCTGCGCTCCGCCGCGCAGGGGGGGGCGCAGCATGGGTGGAGCAGCAAACAGACCTGGTGGAAGAGGAATCCCACAGGTGACGTTGATCAGTAAAGGCTTGGGGCCTGTTGCTGGCAACTGGCAAGGACGTGCTTACGGCGAACTAAAGCATCTCTCTCCATATATAGTTATACAACTGGCGACATATATCTACACCTAAAGCAAAGACCACACAGTTTCGTTTGGGAGTCTCAGACCTGCCTCGGGTCACCCGTGGCGCCATTTCGCTCACTCCGATCCGCAAGGCCTTGGTCGGGGCTGGCGCCGATTTGCTGTCTTTGGAGACCGATGAAGGTGTTGACCACTACGTTGCTGGGGCACCCGGAGACCACGGAGACCCGGAGAGACCGGAGAGATGTGAAATGTTGGAAGCGAACAAAGCCGCCGAGACCGGCGGCGCTTCTGTGAGGGTCATTCTGTGGTGGTCATGGGTCGTTCAATGTTGTTTGTTTGAAGTTGAATATCGTGATCCTCGAATAGATGACCGTGGCTTGGTATCCAAGACATTTTCTACGTGGTATATCTACGAACCTCTATCTATTTGGGGACCAGCTTGACTTGGAGTGGGTTGTCAGCTTGGAGTGTTTTGTAACTGGCCATGTCCATGGCTCATGGTCCACGGGCCATGATGGGCCATGTCTCCGCGCGCAACAGGCTTCCCATCTTAGCCTTGTTTGCGGGCCGGAACTCAAGAATAGGAGAGCAAGAAAAAAGCAAAGGTGGCTTGGAGCATACTTGGACAATGCCGTGAATTAGCAAATCTTATCATTCAATAGCCCTGGGCCAGCGCATCCTGTGGTCGCTTGGTGAGCGTTTGGTCACATGAGACTCGAGTGGGTTTCTGCGTTTTCGTGTTTGGGCTTGGTAAATATCTCACACTACAGTTGGTGTTCCTGTTCCTGGAAGCTTGATTGTGAGTGTTCTTGTTCTCAGACTTGATGAGATAATACGAAGACACTAGAGATACAACACTAGAGAAACTTGTTGTTAGACCTTTTAACTGAAAAGGCCGCTTGAGCCGACACCTACCTCGCTTGGTCAAAATGATCACTTTCCTCGCTTGGTCCTTCATCTGTCCTCAGATCTCCTTCCTCAAGAGGACCAAGGAGCCGGCTCGCGTCGCAGCATGAAGACGGAGTCCCAATGGGTGTGTATGCACCAATGGGTGTCGTTCCCTGGCCCTGGCTGGGTAGACTGGTCGATTTGTCGGTTCATGCCGGCGGTTCGGTCTCCGGACTGAGCTGCACATCCAAATGAGTGGCATACAGTGGACCTTCAACTAATTGTAATATATTACAATAAACAATTTGTCAATAATGATTGACAATCATATATGAACATATTGATCAAGAATGATTGATCATGCAAACCATTAGGAATTGCCATAATTGTCCAGAGCCCCGAGACTGCATCACCGCCGAGCCCACAGGTCCTATAGGGGTGGGTTCCAGCCAAAAAAAGCGCAGCGTGGAACCGGTGGAACAGACGGTGGATTTTCCTGACGGTCGAACTGACGTGCAGATCAGCTGAATCAGGAACTCCACATACCACCATGAACACCTGTTTTTGTTCGGCTCCTAGTAGTAGCTCATCAGCTCCTAGTAGTAGGAGTGAAAAGCAGATTGCAAACAAACATCCATTGGTTTGGATGATTGGATAGATCAAAACCTATTTCTTTAGACACGGATTCTTCAACCCCCCACTTTGTATCGTGGTTTTTGGGGGGAGGTCCTGGTCGCCTCGGCCGCATGACAGGAGGCCTTTCCGGGTCTGGACGTGGTGGCGGGTCCCGTGAATTCCGTGCGCCAGGCGGACCATTTTCGCTCCTAGGAACGAGGACGCTACGAACGGGGCTCGCTGCCGTAGTGGGGATGCGTGGCTTTCCTGTGACCAAGGACAAGGATCATGTCAACTGTCGATGATTAGCTTGCCCACTGTAGAGATTTGAGGTGTTGGCTTGGTCAAGCTAATCAATGTTCCAAGGTTGCGAGTGCTGGTATAGACAGACTCATGCAACGCAGTGGTAAGAGGCCTTGTCTTTTGGCCGCAGCCAAATGGTTTATCATAGTTTATAATTTGGGATAGTCCTGATCTTTATTTTTCTGCGTGGTAAGGTTAGATCCTTATGTGGATGGTAAGCAAACTAACGAATGGGGCTCCTGGCCTTACTACTAGGAGCAAGGATGCTACTAGGAGCAAAGTGCATCGGTTCGGGCAGAGATCTGGGCGGCTTCACGGTTCCATGGCCTTTGGTTCAGCTTCAATACTCATGAGTCGTTCGTAAAGACTTTGAGTCATTGGATCTGGGATCCTTTGGGATCAGGATCATTTGGAAAGGTTCTGAAAACTAGTAACTAAGAACGCGCCTCTAGCTTTGGAGGCCATCGCTACCTAGTAGCATCTAGTAGGCCATCGCTACGCTAGTAGTAGCCGTGCTTCGTTACCTCACCAAGTCGAACTCACCAAGTCGAACTTACCAGGTGCTTCGTCTGGGCTGCTTTTGTCGAATGCTTCGTGTAGAAAGACCTTTCAACATCGGAACCGTCTTGCTGCTTTCTGCCATTCACAAAGAACGCGACAAATGGGCATGTGAAAACCATGGACCTGACATGAAAACCACCCCAAATCACCGAATGTAGGCCATATTGATGGTCGCAGTCCCCATTGGTCGCGTCTGGGATTGTGGCAAGTCAGACTCAAGTTGCCTAACGAAGCGAGACTTAAACATGGACCGTGGTGACTAGAAGACCACCGCTCCCGGGTGGGTGGCGGTTCCAGTACCGGAACCCCAAGCCACCCGCGCTGGTCATCTCATCCCCCGGGGATCGCACTGACACGACGCTGGAAGGATCGCCATGTTTCCAGATGCAGGTTCAGGCGTGTAGTCCTAGTTCCCCAGAGCGAAGAATAGATGAACACCCGATCCGCCAACCTTGTCTACCCCTTGTTTTGCGGGACCATAAACATATTGGCTGTCATCACTTCCAGCATTGAAGATATGTAAAACCAAAGACATCGAACACCAGTACTTAGTTTTGTTCTGCCCCCGAACCAGCAATTGAACCACCATTCGTCACTATGAATCCTGGGTGGGCGTTTCTTCAGCCCATACATCATTCATCCATCTTGCATAGGCATTTATATTACAGTGGATTGAGAGTAGATGGCACAAACCCCAAGATGTCTTTTGTATAGGGGTCCATATAAACCACCTTTGGGATCCTTTGGGGGGATTGTGCCATCTACTCTCAACCCACTATAACTTATATATCATTGTATATATATATATGTTTTGTTGTTTTCATTCCTGTGCTAGGAGAACAAGTAGAAGACAGAAGAACAGCTCACGGAACCATGATGTTAGGCACAGCTCCTGGCCCTGAGCTGCGACGCTGAACCCTGGAGGCCTCCATGCTGTGCAACCACGGAGCAGACGCCATCCGGGTCGGGGTGCCTGGAGTTTCCTTTGCTATCATGTACATTTATGAGAGAGTATATTTATTCCAACTAACTTGCACCTGTTGGCATTGCTGCTCATCCTAGGGATCCCTGAGCAAAAGCCGCTCATTGCTATGCGGAAAATATGGCGGCGGCGGCTTTTTTCTCTTTCGAGCGAACCTTTTGCATCCCTTTGCGAAAGGGTTTTGACAAGTTGGCACCGACGCCTCTTGCTTGGTGCTGTACTTTATTCATTCATCGACCCCATCTCTGAGCCAGACCAACACCGAACTACAAATCAAAGCAGAAGAGTTGGAGCCCGAACCCAATCCTGGCGTGAGCAAACCCTCCTAGGCGCGAAAGAACAAACCACAGTAGTCCGATATAGGTTATATATTAGGCACTATATGCATAGCAAGCGCAAAGCCTTACGAGAGAAGATGCCAAGCAGCTCGACACGCAAATCCCTTAGCGACAGGTCCATCCTGGATGCCGTCATCGAAGCGAGCTGGTGTGAATCGAAAAGTGTCCGTCTCTCCAGGAAGACGAGGCCACCAAGTCGGAGAAGAGCCTGTCGGAAAAGGAGAGAAGTGTGCCCCAGGGCCTGCGTGCCCCAGGGGCTGACGGAGTCACGGAGAGACCTGAAGGGATAGTTCAGTCCTTGCCAGGTGCATTGCTACGTTTCGCTTCGTGCTACTAGCAGCGATGGCCTCCAACCTACGTTCGCTTTGCTACGTTCGTAACCAGACTGGAAGAGTTGGGATCGCTCAGTGGTTCTCTGGCCCGAACTGAATGGAACTAAACCTCCTCCCACCATTCCAGGAGCCAACTGCGAGCTATCCAACACCAACCACAGGTGATATGCGGGTCATGCCGAAACGGCATCAAGCACCCTTCGACAACTTTGTCTACCTGCTTGCCTTGAAAACGGGTACGCCGAGCATAGCTTCCGCTTCTCATGTCTCATACAGCGCATCAACTGAGTCAGAGCCGTTCGTGGCTTCCTGACGCTACAGCGGGGTGAGGCCCATGCAGGTGCGAGGTCGTGACTTTTAACCACAACTAGGTCTACTTGCAGAAAAATGTCCAGGACAGCATTGAATTTAAGATTTGTATGGCCAAAAACGTCAAAGGACTTCATAAAGGCGAATTGGAAAACGGGAGGCTCACTGAACCTCCTTAACTATAGAACTATAGCGGCAGGTGGACACGACATGATATGCCAACCCGAGGTCCACGCATCTACGACGCCAGGAAATAGTTAAAGAGTGTCTTGAACATTTGGGTTGGGTATATCATCAACGACGCAAGCATTTTGCGATTCCTAGCCCAAGGCTGCCCGAAGTGGATCATGGATGGCTTTGATGGGACACCCAAAGATCAACGCCGCCTCAGGTAACACTTGACCTGCGCGGACGATCCATCCACAAAGGCCTTTCTTGCGCAATGCCGGCTTTCGAGGCAGACCTCTGCTGGCCAGCTCGTCCGAGACTTCCAGGGCCACCGTTGAACTCTGTCGGAGCTTTCGCCATGCTGGAGACGCATCTCGACGCGCGGACACTGCTTGGTGGCGGTACCGCCGGCGGTGCCGCCCGGTCCTACACCGCGGCCGGTCCCACGCCCAGGGGGTTGAAACAAGGTGAAGGTCTGAACATTGCGCAAGCGCGTGTGCCTATACATGCAGGTCACGATTCACTCGCACCTGCTGGCATGGACCCTTTTCAAGGAAACACCATTATGGCCAATTGCTGTGCAGCAAACCTGGCCATTGCTTTTGACCCTGAACCCTTTGCGCAGGGATTGTGACAAGAATAGCTGTTGGTTTGTTTTGTCTCCCGTTGTTTTCCGTGCTCTTCGATAACATGTTATGCAGCTTCCTTCTGATTCCATTGACAGGCTTGTGTTGTTTTCTTCTTGTAGTGTGCGCTTTGTTTTTAATGTACGCAAGTTACTACGGATATTCCGTTTGGAAACCTCAAGCTGTTGCTTTTTGGTTGTGCGCTTTGTTCTTTATATAAATCTTGCATTTGAGAAGATAGGTGCACCGCACTTAGCAGATATATATAATATATATAAGAAGAGATTCTTTGAACTTTGGACAGTGGTGAGGGGGCGGTGCTTTATTGGTAGGCTGGGTTTCTTTCATTAGGCGACATGAAAAAAGAACTGGAGCACGAGTATCGGTGAGTTTGCGCATGGTTCAGCGACACAAAAGCAGTTGTTTTTGAGGAGGGACTTGTCAATAATGGGTGGTGTTGATGTTGACACGTCAGAAACAATACTAATACATTGCTCTCATGACGAAGGGTGAGAAGTGAGTTTTGTCAGGGCATGATTGACCTAGAGTTCTGGAATCTGCAAATTTACCAGTGGTTAGATCAATCGACCGAAAGCTGTCAACTTCCAACGCTCACAGGCTTGGGCATAGTATAAAGGGGAAATGGCTGGCTTGACTCGGTTGTTGCACATGTTGGTACTGTGAGATGGGTGGATGGGCACTTTTCTGAACCGGGCTCCTTTGCAGGGCGCACCAAATTGCCATAAGTGTTTGAGAACAGTATGTTTTAGCAAATATTGAAATCCTCGCACACAAAAACGGCGAACAAAGCAAGACATTGTGATCATATAGATACGTTGTTCATACAATATATATATATATACACATATATATATATATACAGAGCCAGATTGAGAGTTTCGATGTCTATTGTCGGTATTGTGTTACCGTGCTTCTTCGATTTCAACCCTCGGTCTATTGTGAGGTGGGCCTGGCAGAGGGCGCCAGCGCCAGTGTTTTGTACGATGTCTCGAGGCCGGGGAAGACAGAAGACATGTGGGGCGAGATGACGCTTCACAGTCAGTGGCATCACATGTTCGAAGAACCAAGAAAACCACTGGCTGGAAGTTCTTTACAGCCCCTGTTTTTCTTGGAAGTATTGTTGCTTTTGTTGGGTAGCCTCTCTTTTTCCACCATCGATGCCATCGTCAGATACGTCAGAATTGGCGTTGGTCGCGTTGGACGTGTTTGGCCACGGTCTTGCCACGGCGAGGACTCTGCGAGCCAACTATGGAACGCCGGTCTTGGCAGACCTTCAGGCTCTTCTTTCTGAGTCTATGGGCCTCATAGAGCTTGTTCTGAGGCCCGATGGGCCCGATGGGCCACTGAGTCATGCCTCGTGTTGATGTAGTGTTTTCCAAGATGGCTACTGTGACAGTTGGGCTCAGTTGGACTAACTTACAGCATGTTGCAATCTGATGCAACTCACCGACGGAATCTTTTGGAGCGCAGTTATGTGCAGTCCTACTTTGTCCTGAACTGGGAAGGAGAATGCCATACACTGGCCTCTAACCCGCATGTTGATCCTCCTAAATCCAAGGCAGTACGCCTGAGGTTCAACGATGGACTTCTGATTTCTCTTACAAAAGGTTTGACAGCAGTTGGTGGACTTTGAGTGCCATACCGTCGGATTTCAGGCAGTGTGTTTTGCATCCTTTGCTGATGGCAGGGATGAGTTGGTACAACCTTGACTTTTGATAACTTTTGGGTGGGAGGCCATCGCTATTGAGTTGGTTTGCTCATTCATTCTGAAGGTCAGGGGTCCGAGACATGTTTCCACCCTGCTGCTCGCCCAAATTCCCACGTGCTACTCGAGAACAAAGGCGTAAGTACAAACTGTGGAAAAGTATGTTCATCGATGCACCTAGAACCCATTTGACACATGTTGATTTCTCAAAAAAGGCTAAGGCCACATTTTCAGGTGGTAGGTCGTCCTCAAAAATGGCGGTCCAACATGTGCTTCTATATAGGCACCTTCATGGCTCTTCCGACTCTCTTTCTAGGCGAGCAACTCCGGAGAGCTCTTGAAGGTCCGCTTTCGCCATTGGTCCGCTGGGCGCGGCCGTTCGACCAGCTTTTGGCATCCCAAAAGGGTTCGTCCGGCGGCTGAACGATCTTGGGAGTTGAGGGAAGCCTTGACACCACGCGAACGACATCCTGCAAGGGAAGAAGTACCGGTAAGCCCAGGCAGAGCACAGGTCTATATACATACATAATCATACATACTGCTCAAGCTGAGCCACTACATCCTTGACAGCCAAGCGGGCACTGGCTCTACGACTGCACTTCGCGTCCTCCTCCTCCACGTCCTTGTCTACCTCGACGGCAGCACATCATGCAATGGGGCAGGACATACCAGATCTGCCACAGTGGCACCTGCAAGAATTGGATTTGGGAGGACAAGATTCAAGCGGGCTTCACATGCAGGCTCTGCGGCAGCACATGGAAAAAGCCCAGTCAAGGGTTTGCCTCCAAAGCACAGCAGGTCAAGCACCTCACTCGATGGAATGCCTACAAAGCACGCTCTCCTACACCACCACCAGGGCTAGGCAAGGGCAAACCGGGCAAGTCCGGCAAGCTTCAGAAAGTGGCCTCCGACATCCTAGCTCCAGCGTGGGAAGGATTGGATGAAGCCCTCCGGTCCAAGCTCATCGAGGTTGGCATCAATCCCAACCCCAAGCAAATTGAGCCGGACCTCACAGATGTCCTCAAGGAAAACTTGGCCAACTTGCCAGCTCCTGTTAAAGAACTGGTGGAGAAGATCACCAAGCCGCAACCTCCCACGGAGAAGGACATGGCTGTTCAATTGAAGCAGCAAGTCACAAACCTCCGGGACATCTCTCATCGCAAGCAAATCTTGCAGCAAAAGATAGACAGCACCAAGAAGCACTATCAAGACCTCTTGGAGGAGATGAAACAACTCCAACAAAAGCTTGAGCAGGAACAGGCATCTCTCAATGCCACAAGTGCAGCCTACATGACCAAAGTCAAAGAGGAACACCCTCCTGGCAGCTATGTTTTGGATGTCGAAATGACAGACACCGTCCCGGAGGCCGTAGCTGGCTTCATCACCACTTTGGGTGTCTCCCTCACGCCAGAGCAAAAAGAGCAGTTGCAGCAGATGCTCAAACGGCCGCAGTCAGGTGTTGAAGGGACAGATGAAGAGGCAAAACGCCGACGCACCGGGGCTCCAGAAGCTTTGTGTGGGTAACACACTTGGACATGGTCATGAAATGCAGCTCACACATGGGGGACACACTTCATGTTCTGCGGGACATGAACTGGGGACTGCACAAGAACATTGCAGGGGCATGCAATACTCTCTTGTGAATCTGCAATACCCAGGCTCAAGAACGGGCCGCACTTTTGACGCGGTGGGATATGGACCGCAGCGCAACACCTTCAAGGTGAAGGGTGGTGCCAAAAACGACACCTCAGAAGTGACTACAGGCCAAGTGGACACCGAGGCACCGAGCTCTCCTACCTCAGAGCAGCTTCCCAAGAAGCCTGCTAACCACGGGACCTCGGCTGTTCGTGCTTTGGCAAGAGTCCTCAACATGGAAATGGATGACTCCTTGCTCTCCAATGAGCAACAGACACTTTTTGAACTTTGTAGAAGGGACCTCAACCGATCATGCAACACCTATGCAGATCATGCCACTGTGCATCAAGGCCAGCAGCTTCTGGTCGATCTCAAAAGGATGCAAAACATAGTTCACAGGCACCTCAGCCTACCAGGAGAAGGAGATACAGATGCGGCAAACATCTATGTGATCTCACAAGGGCTCACTAGCATCTTGCGCAACAACAAGAACCTCTGTTATGGCAATGCACCATGGCGGTGCTGGTGCTGGGCGGGGGCTTTTGCCGAGGATGCAAATCAAGCTTGGGGCCACACCCAAACCGCAGTCCGACAATACCTCTCGGATGGGGAACCTCAGGATTTGACGGGTCTTCATGATCTTCAAACCATATGTTCTCAGTTCACTCAAGATGAGCAAGCTGATGCATCTGATTTCGTGCATCACCTTTGGACCCACTCTGGGACTCCCTTCTTTGGGGGACGTTTCTTTCATCGGAATCATCGTGATCAACTAGAAGAACGTGAACAGTTTCCCTTGAATCTCTTATGTCCAGAAGGTCAAACTCCTATCACCCTGGACACTTTGGTCTCTCAATGGGCGGACGAAGGAGGTGGGCAGTTCTTGTACGGATCTCCCGGGGGACTGGTCTTACACATCCAGAGGACGGCCCTGGTGGATGGCATTTGGACCAAACACCACAGGGAGATTGATACTGACACCAAGATCAATATCCCCTTTTCGGAAGATGGACAGCACGTCCACATGGCCACCTACAAGGTGATTGGCATGGTCCTTCACCAAGGAGTCGATCATCATCATGGTCACTACCAGAGTATCCTCTCGGTGGACAACATTCACTGGCTAGCCGATGATGGAGTTTACCCACAGGCCATTCCACACATCTCGGAGCAACAGAGGAGGGAGATCACTCAAATTTGGCTCACTCTCATTCAAGAGGATGAACTCGTCCCGGACACCTCCATTGAGGTGGCAGCCTCCATGCCGAAAAAGCAGAAGCACTCTTATGAAACTTTGCGCATCACCTTCAGCAATGTCACCACCTTCGGGCGCAAAGTGCAAGATTGGCTATGGCACCAAGGGGACTCCATCATGCTCTTTCAGGAGACTCACCTGGCCAAGAAGGCTCTTGAAGAGGTCATGCAGTATCTCACCATCCGAGGGTGGAAATGTCATGGAGTACCTGCTGAGCCAACGGGTCAAGGAGGCAATACGGGTGGTTTCCTCACTGTTCATCCAGTCCGGCATCTACTTCACCACGTGCACACTTGCACGAAACAAGGCAATGGATGGACTGCCCTACGGATGGAACGACAAGGAGGGGACCTCTTCATCATTCAGGTCTATCTTAAGACGGGGGAGAGTTTCCAATCACCTCTCAACGCTGAGCTTTTGGGACAGATGCTGCAGTTCATTGGACACCTTCACTCGCCCTTCATCATTGGAGGGGATTGGCAGAACAGTCCTGAAGAGTTGGCTTCCACCATCATACCTAGCAAGTTCAGAGCTCAAATTCTGGCCAAAGACGAAGCCACGACCTTGCAGGGCAGCCACTTGGACTTCATCCTTGCGTCCACTTCCATCTACAGTGCACTCCAGCTGCATCACAATTGGGAAGTGCCTTGGAAACCTCATTGCGCATTGGATCTCAAATTCGACTGTGAGTGGGCGGCCCTTCCTGTTCAACAGCTGCAGCGATTTCCTCCCATTGCCAGAACAGCTCAATTGCCGAGGAACTGGACCACCTTTGAAGAATCCAACGGCCCTTTTCAGATGCTGAGTGAACTCATCACTGGTCTTGGATCGGATCTGGCTAGATGGGCCACACGGACAGAGAAGTACCTCACACAGCTCCTTCACAAGCCCACCACAGGCAGGGGCTCCCAGGTCAAGTTCCAACAAGGGCCACTTCTGGATGCCAACAAACCACGGATCTGGAAGAATGGAAGCCCGGCTTTCTGGGAGAAGATGACCGTGAGATTGAACATCCTCACACATGGCCCGCATCCTAAAGTTCAACAAGATCTACAGGCCATGATTCCCTTGATCCCACAGCATGCCTCCTCGGATCTTGATCAAGAGGGCTTCAGTGATCAGCTTTGGCAGTGGGTCACACAACCCACCAGAGATCTCACGAATCTGAGACAAATTATCCAGCAAGAGCTTCAAACAGCACAAAAACAGCTGCTCAGTTCCACGAATCATGAATTTCGTGAATGGCTGGAAAAAGCTCATGACAAAGGTCTTCGGGGACTTTTCAGGAGCCTACGTCAAAAAGATCACGCATGGCAACGACCTTTTCAAAGTCTCCCGCCCACTCAGCGACTTGAGGCAAGGGAACAACAATGGGGACAGCTTTGGATCGTCACTGAAGGTCCCGCCAACATCCGAGGGATACAAGAGCTTCGACGCAGGGCACAGGCTCAAGCGGCCACTTTCCTTCCCTTGGACACCGTCATCCTCCAGAAGCTGATGAGGAAACTCCCCAACGAGGCAGCTGGTCCTGACGGCATCTCTTATGATTTCCTCAGGCACCTTCCATTTCCTGCGGTGGAAAGACTTGCACAGCTGCTCACTGAGATGGAGAAAACTGCGGAGTTACCCACACAGCTCCGCTACACCAACATCGTGCTGATCCCAAAGAATGAGAAGATAGAAAGACCCATTGCTTTGACCTCATGTCTGTACCGGCTGTGGAATAGATACCGCAAGTTTGAACTACAACACTGGCAGCTAGGTCTGGACAAAGAGATGCCTTGGGACCAAGCCAGACCTCATCGGGACTGTCTGTCCATAGCGGTTGGGAGGATGATGAAAGCTGAAATTGGCAAGCACCAGGGCATCTACACCGTCTCATGTTTAGCAGACCTCACTTGCTTCTATGACACGGTCACTTTGGATCATCTCATTGAACCAGCCTTGGACTTGCACTACCCACCGCTGCACCTCAAGCTGGCTCTCGACCTATACACGGGTCCTCGCCTCCTTCAGGCGGAAGGCATCTCGGGTGATCCAAAGCACTATGAAAAAGGCATCTTGCAAGGTTGCCCTCAGGCACCTGCCATTGCCAAACTGGTCCTCTACCAGCCGCTACGGGCCCTGGTGCGAGATCACCCAGCTGTCCAACTACAAACTTGGGTGGATGACGTCTCCTTCGACATCAAAGGCACCGATGCCTCCTATGTTGCAAGGGAAGCTGTCTTGGCCTTCAGGTCTCTTAAGCAACATGTTGAAGCAGCAGGCTTAAAGATCAACTCCGACAAGACCGGCTTCATCTCTAGTAGCAAAGAAGTGGCAAAAGCACTGGACCTGAATCTTCAAGACACCGATCCAAAGCACTTCAACGTTCTTCGGGACCTCGGCATTGACGCCACGAACTCCAGGCGCAGAAGAGTCACGCAGATCAAAAAACGGTTCCTCAAAGGCCGTGGTCGAGCAGGGATCATGCACAGACTCAAGTTGAACCCGCAGGTCAGATATCGACTGCATCGGGGAGCGATTCATCCCGTGATGACATGGGGCTCTCAAGCAAATGGGCTCGCTCCTCAACGACGGCAACAGATCCGTGTGATGGCAGCCAGAGGCCTGAAGCTACAGAAGTCAGGGTCTGTTGATGTGGTCTTTGACATGAATCCCAACAAAGTGGACCCTGGGGACTCGATCATCCTCCAGCATGTCCACACGGTGTGGAAGGTTTACCACGCTTTTGATGAAAGTGCTCAACACCTTTTCTGGATCAGTTGGACTTCTGCTCTTGACCTTCTTCTCAAAGCCAAATACCGTTGGCAAGTGGTCACTGGGCCAATGCAGGCACTGCAAGCCTATCTCCTCGATTATGACTTCGACATCTCAGCCGGCAAACACTGGAAAAGGACTGGCTACGGGGGAATTCCAGACTGTGAGATACAACTGGAAGACAATTGGCCGTCCCTCCACCACAAGCTCCTCGAGGAGTTTCGCTGGCAGCGTCTTCTCCGGTTGACCAGGTACACCGGCTGCCACGACCTGGAAAGGCCTTTAGATTGGACCGTCAGCCGCACGATGGAAAAGATGTGCACTGACAAGCAGTGCACAGCGCTCAGGGCCTTGCACCAGGGCACTCTTCATGGTCAAGAAGGATCATGCCCTCTTTGTGGAGAAGAGCTCACCTTCATCCACTTGCTGTGGCAGTGTAGTTTCTGGAAAGGGAGAGTCAAGGACCTGCCAGACCAATGGCATGAAAGACTTCAAGCAGGCACAGAACCGGAGCTTTGGAACAGAGGCATGACTCAGAGCCTTTTCTACACCCCGGATGGTGGCATGGCTACTTTCAATGGAGAAGGTCTCTGGGCAAATCTGGAGACTTTGACGGTCGGCGCTGGTCAAGCTTTCTCTGTGGCCATTGCTCCTACCTGTCGAGACCCACGACATCGACGGTTCGCCTTTGCCATCTGCATCCATGACGCCCACTCCAAGGAAAGGATTGCCTCCATCACTGGCATCTGCCCCGGGCAAGCATCCAGACAAAGGGCCTCCTTCTATGCCCTCAAGCACCTGTCACTCCACATCAATGACAAGGTGCAAGTCCCGGTCTTCCAGCACACCACTTGGAAACTCTGGACATGGATGGCTGCTTTTGAGCACTTCCCGGACCTATGTTTAGGCTTGGAGCAGGAAGACTATGATCAGGTCCGACTCTTGCTCCTGAGTGGTTCTGAGTTGAACAGCAACCACAACAGGAAGCTCTTCCAGAAAGACACGCAAGCCAAAGCCACCCAGGCAGCCATCTTGGCTCGCCCAGAAGAGATCCTGGACCTCCAACGTCAGGTTGATGAAGACACGCGAGACATCCTCTTTGTGGCAACCAATCGAATGGAGATCCTTCTGACTGACAAAAGTCACTTCTTGCACACCAAGCACCAGCAAGACAGTCCGGGCAAGATTCCCCTCATTCAGCAGAAGCGAGAACTGCTGGCCAACTACCTTGAGGAGCCCACTAGGAATGGACACCAATGGCAAGCTTTCAGATCGGGAGTCCAATGCACTCTTTGTCGGCAGCGGCTTCATGCCAAATCTCTCCTCAAGGAGATACAGGAGGGTCTCAATGCTCCTTGCAAACAAGCCATCGTGGCCAAAGAGCACAAAAAGACGAGATTTGAAGTCATCCATGACCTCTTGGAAATGCAGCAAGCTCCGGTGGAAGGTCAACACCACTTCAAGCTTGACAAAGCTTACCTGAGGTGCCAAGTTTGCCGGTGCTACATTTTGGCACGAGCAGGAGAGGAACAATTTCATCGTTTCCTTGGCTCCTACTGCCATCATGGGCCGCTCGATGCAGATGAATGGAGGGGGCACCCTACGCATCAGATGATGCGCACAGGCAACATGGCAGCGTGCAGTCTGTGCAAAGCCAAGACGAAGATGGTGGGCAACAGCTGGGAACTGACGCACAAACTCCGCTCCACCTGCTCGCGGCCCGGGTCAAAAGATCTGAGAGCCATGTTCAGCTGACTGCAAGCACAGGAAAAGAGACGTGCAAAAAAAAAAAATATATATATATATATTATATATACATAGGTGAATGGATGGATGGATGGATGGATGGATGGATGGATGGGTAGATATAGGTAGATAGTATCAGGTAGATAGATAGATAGATAGATGATCATGAGAGCGGGGTCATAAGCGGAACCCCTTATTTCCGTTGTGTTCATTGTTGTTTTCATTTCCACATGCTTTGATACGAAGGATTCAACATGTGTGGGGTATTAGGGGTGTCATCTTGGAGCAACCCCCGAGATATGGAGCTCCTGAAGGAGCCATATGCACTCCGGCCCCTTGGCTTTCGAGATGTCTCCTCCTGGGAACGCCCGGAAATCAACGGGGCGTCTCCACGGAACGATCGAACGAGGACAGACCCGGTCGCGGCGTACGACCCGTGCGACCGGCCTGACGTGGTACCGGTGATGGAGTCGGAAGCGAAGCGGTGGAACCTGAGGGGGCACAGGGAATGAAGTGGATCCCGGGATTGCAACGTTGGCACCAAAGGTGAAGAAGGGGAAAGTGAGATGGAGTCAGGCCAATTTCTCAAGAGATTCCCAGGATAAACTTGCTGTGGACACCAAACCCATGAAATCTCAGGGTCGTTGAACAGGGTGCTTGAGCTTGCACGCCTCCACGCCGCCTCCACGCCGCGTCTTCCACACCGCGTTATCCACGCCGCCTCCACGAGTGAGGCATTGCTACTGGGGGCCTCCACGGTCTCTGTGGATGCGATGGTGTCCCGCTGCGAGGAGCGCTGTGACGGACGCCGGAAAGTCCACTCCGGTTCTGACGCGAAGTCCACCAGAACATGGACGTGTTGATGAATTAAACCCCCTCCCACATTGAGATGAGTCATCTCCAAATAGGGGTCATAGTCACCTACCTGTCTCACTTCATGGTCTCAGGCCCCCGAGCCTGGTTCGTCAGACACACACCTGGTTCGTCTCAGTTCGCGACCGAACTTCATGTCCGGTTGCTTCGGTCAACTAGACCTGGTTCCCCTCAGGTCCCTGGTCAGGACTCCAACCAGGTCGCTGGCTGGCGACGCTCGACGGTTTCGCTCGGCGAAAACGCTAGCCTTCCACCAGTTTCACAGGAAGTGCCTGGGGACCTCATCTTCCGAGAAGGCCCATTGTTCGGGGGCGAGAGACACTTCTGGAGGTGTGAAAACAGCGCAGAACGTCAGAGAATTTGAAAGGATGTCAGACAGATTTCTCCAAAGAAAATCAGCAAATCAACATCAAAAAGAAAAAATAAGCGAACGTGCCGTGATTTACAAGCCAAGAGAACATCAAAGGCATTCGAAGAATGCGAATCACACAGAAATCAGACTGAATTCCGCGGGATGGCTCAAGTTGTTTATATGGTGTACTGGTCCAATGAGGGTGCCAGTGTCTGTCTCATTACTCTTGGGAGATTCTGAAACCACATGTTTTAGATTTTACATGATTGCACACTATAGATCTAACACTAGATACCTGGAACTTGATCAAGAAGTAATGGAGAGAAGGAACACCTCAAACGACATCCAAAGATATACTAGAGACGGATTTGTTCGGCATCGCCGGAACTATCTTTCATCCGCAGTTCGTGGCCGAAAAACGTTGGACCGGACCGCCGCTTCCAAATTGTTTGTCATATCCTGTTTGTTTGCTTACGGGATGCATGATGTTGCGCCTTCGGATTTGTCTTATGTGGAACAATGAGATCCTTTGGCATTTTGTTGTGCTGCAATTTGCGGGGAACTTGATTCCTATCTGATCAGGCTGCGGTCATGGAGAAAACAATGGGGAAACCATAATAGAGATTCTCCAAAATCAGACTTGAACAATTCAGGTTTTGGTGGTGCACATGAGGAAAACAAAAGCAGCCTCATTGTCACAGGCTCAGTGACATCACTACCTTTCCAAGTTGGGATGCCAAAAGGCAAACAAGTTGAACCAGGGAGTGTGCTCTGTATATATAGGGATTACTGCATTACTCAATTCTGTGCACTTTAGTCTGTCCCATTGCGCCAAGTGACTGTCAAGACCACAAAATTAAGTAAACTTAAAACATTAATGAAACATAATGAAACATGTTTCGTTTGCATGTGATCTACGGGATGTTCAAATAACAATGAGGAATCCTACCGTCTGACCGCTCGTCTCTCCTCCGTCTCGATCGATCCTCGACCGTCCGAGAAGGAGAGAAGGAAGCAAGTCGTCCGGAAGACTTGGAAGACGGACGGAAGAAGGTCTTTTTGTTCCGAAGAAAGGAACAAAAACACAGAATCTGCAGATTCTGATCTTCCCACATGTAGGTTTGGGAAACTCAGCATCGCCCTAAGAATCCGGACCCTCAAATCGAAAGAATTCATGTTTTGCGGGTTTAAATATGTTTAAAACCCTGAGAGCCCCGAACATCGGTGATGCCCTTCTAAAAAAACGAGGTTCTTAATGACATGTGCGAATCGCGGTGGATGGATCGCGGCGTCTGCGTCTGCCAGGTGTCCGAGTGAAGCTGGAGACATCAGGCGGTGGACGATCCCATCGCCGACAAGTTCCAGGGTGAGTGTTTTGGGAAAAGAAGATGAAAGAAGATAAAGAAGCTGGCCGTGGCCGTTATTTGTGTTAAAACGTCCTTTTGCACTCTTGTACCTCAACATGTTGGCATGGACCTGAACGCAATCGCGAGGCAGTGAAGACAGCGCAGCAGTGGCAATGGGAGTGGCAACCCACAAAATCGATGCTCGGGCGGTAACCGATGCTCGACCTGGGGGTCTCCCACCTTTGCTACTTGCGATTTACCTGGCAAATCAACCCACCAGGGCCCAACCAGGGCGGTGAGGGCCACCTCCCTGCTTCCGAACGCCGATCCGCATGGATTCCTGTGGCCTGCGCATGTTTCGCTTCACAGACTCGTGCCGTCTGTTCGTTTGTTTTGCGTGTCATTGGGTGCAGTTGGGATTCTGAAGTCGTGGGCCCTTTGGGATTCCCTGCACTCCATGTATATATACCTGCTGTACATTGGGGGGTTGAGGCAGTCAATGTATATGCCATACATGGCGTGTCAGGGGTTGTAGATGATTGTAGCCTTCTTATCCTTCTTATCTAAGATTGCACCCTCACCATGGAGTTTTTTGCCATCAAATCATTGCACGTACTTTTACAGATGTGTTGTTCTTCCTTTAACTGGGGCAGGAAGAGAATACCCCAAAGGCAGGTGGCGGTTCATTGTTTCGGCATGCGTTTGCCTTGGAATCCTTTGCTGTATATTTTAGTGACCAGGAACTGACGAAGGATTCCAAGTATCGATCCCATTTCGCCCGGCCACACGATGTTTCTTTTTCGCCCCCCCCCCAAACAAAAGGGGAACAACTCACCTCACTCGGAAAATGATGGACAGATTCAACAAAAAAAGTTTCGGTTCAGGTGAATGTTCGTCCCAAGCGTTGGTGCACCTGTTTTGGGAGCATCGTTGGTTGGAAAACAGCTCCGTTACGGGGGTAAATGGATGGGGGTTCACTAGGCATCAATTTTCTGGCGGTTCCCTCTGTTTTTGGGAGAAGTTGTAAGTATAGATGTCCGATCTGATTTAAAAAAACAAGACTACTATAGTGGACAAGTCCGTGTCGTCACAGGGTCAAAGAACTGTCCTCAAGACCTGACACCTTCGACGCTGACCCCGCGGAGGTCGGCGGGACTTGATATCGTCATTCGTAATGACTGCCAAAGGAGTCTGCGAACGCCAAACGATTGGGGAAAACGGGTGCGACCCCAAGGCGACCGAGGGAGAGGGAGGATAGGGAGGGTGGGGTGGTTGTTCTCAAAGCACCAGCAAGCAGGAAGCAGGTGCTGCGAATCAGGCCTTACCCGAGCCACGACGTTTGCTGGGGTTTCGCTGAGGATGGAGGGTCTGCTCTCAGCTACATTCCCATCATCTTGAACCAGCTGCGTAGGGGCCTGCAGGAGTGGCTTGCTGCGCTTGCTGAAGGGGCGAAGGGTCTCCAACCACCATCAGGACACCAGGCTCAGCACCAGGTTCAGCACATGGGGTGTTGTTGGGGCTGTCCCCGCATACTCAGCGCTTGCTTACAAATGACCCCAGAGCCCAGAGGTCGTGCCGTTCCGAAAAAAAAAAAAAAACAGACATCCCCAAATCGCTTCGCCTCCAAGCAGTGCTTTGACCATTTTGACCCGACTTCCTTACAGGGTACAGGGTCCATCTCAAAGACGTGAGGGTTCCGTGCAAACAACGTGACATGCTTCGGAAAAGCCACAAGAAGGATGCGCAGCTCCACATGAACCTGTTCCGCGGAGGGTTTGTTTGGGTGGTTCACAGGTGAGAGGCCGAGAGGCTGCCAAGAGATCTTATGGATGTGGAAGTCCGAGTTCAGCCCTCAAAATCCCAGCACCTGCTTGCACCCGCGAATTGCGGCTCTCAGAGCTGAGCTGAGAGCTGAGAGAGAGCTGGGGCGGTCTGCAGGACCTGGGGGTCTCCGCCCTCGCTGAGACCTCGAAGGCGGCGGCTCGACGTCCTTCGGTCGACTTCCTTGGTGAACCCCCAAAAAGTGCGTAACAGCCCAAGTGCAACAAGTGTACCGGGGTAGAGGTTTGCTCAGATCTACTTAGAGTTCGTCGGACAGTTGGACCTCCTCATTTATCGTATATATAATTATATATATTATATATATTATATATTATTATGTGTATATGTATATGTGATGTTCGCAAACTCATGATGTCACAAAGTACTAGCTACTACCATGGCTGGGGTACTTTGCTCTTGGATTCCAGACGACCCCGGCACAGGAGCACAGAAAATGGCTTGTTATCAACAGTGGAGGGCCAGAGCCAAGATCTACACTCTTCGCAGTTTGTAGTACGTAGATGTACAAAGATCATGCACCCCTAAGCGTGATGCTGGAGTCCGTAGACGCCAAGAATTGTGATGAAGGGCTTCGCAACACAAATAATACAAGTCTATACATAGCCCAGAGTGCCTCAAGTCCAGGGGAGAGGTACTGGAATCCTCTCACAGCAGAGATACAGATGTGTTTTGATTTGTCCTATTTCCAGTCCGACTCAGTAGACCTGCATGACTATGTCAGGTGCTGGTCCCGACCATCATGATCGGCCCTTGGTCTTGATAGGTCTCCGTTTGTTGCCGCTGCCGGTGTCTTGCCGGCGTGGCACCTTGGTGGCACCATGACAAAGCGGATTTGAAGATCCGAAGACCAATGACGAAAAGCAGCTGCACCACCGGGCGGGTCTCTCCCGCACTCATCTTCGTCAGGCCTTGGACCAAGGGCTTTTGCGCCTGGAGCGACAACTGCCCCGAGTGGTCTCTTTCCAGGACGAGAGGGAGATGGGAGATGAGTCCCAGCGGGATGGGGGAAATTCCATCGATCTTTCAGCTATTTAAAACATGTTAAAACGAGTTACAGTACAAAACTGTTTGGTACTTTCGGTTCATATACAGTATAATATACAGTATATATATATATATGTATTATGTAATATGAATCTTGTATGCATGTCTTATCAGTCATGGGCTGATGAGAAGACATGTGTTCACCCAAAGTCTGGCACTGTTCGCAAGAGAGATACCACTTGTACCTGGCAATTTCAGGTGACTTCGGGTGTTTCAAGGTGTAATACATTCGACCCGTTTTGATCTGTGTTCTGATGACCATCGTATGGTGATCTGAATGGAGACATCTCGATTTTCACAGAGTGACCAAAAGCTCAGACCGCAAAAATTAGTAGCTTCTGGTTACTATAGTAGTAATGGCCTCCAACCTAATAGCGATGGCCTCCACCTAGTAGCTTCTTGTTCCTATTATTAAAACACACGGAAAGGCAACCAAATGCTCACATTGGCTCAGAGATGTGAATCCACTGCGAAATGAAAACAGATCCAACAGTCGCATCCCGGAAACCCTCGGTCCCGAGCCGGTTTCCTCGGTCCAAACCTTGGGGTTTTGGCTTCCACGACCTTTGGAGCTGGGCCTTAGAGCTCGGTCGAGTGAGTTTCCGTCGCCAGGCTCCAAAGATGTACCCCATCACGGTGAATGCGCTTCATTATACCTGAGCCCAGTTTCACCAAATCGCTGGGAGTGATGTGGTTTTCACACAAAAACGATGCATTGCACAGATGGATTCGACACATGTCTTTCCACAGCAGCTGTGGATGGAACCATCATGGCACCGTAATGGCCATCATGTCTGTCCACACCAGTGTCAATTGGTTGGTTTATACTTGCTGTTTTCTACTCTACCTACCTGGCAGTTTCTTTGCAGGTTCCTCCGGGAGCCTTTGTGTACTTTCATGTTGTAGCTCATCTTTTGACCTTGAGAAATGAACTTGTCTATGCATGCTCCCAACAGCCACCCAAGTTCGCAAACGATGCTTGCGTCGGTAGTGGGACTTCTTGAAAAGACCATGGGCAACCCAAGACTGGACTCCAAAACAGGTGAGGTGTTTGATTGATGAGTTGGCTTTGGAAAAAAATAGACATGACTGTTTCTGTATGTGTCTGTGTTTACAGGAAAGGACCTTCGTTCACTTCGTGCCGTGCCATCCCAGACGTCATGGGATTTCGCCCATCTCCGCACACTCCGCACACTCGCTCCCAGCAGTTTCGACGTGCTGAGCTGTTTCACCCGAAAACAGCGCCGAGCAGTTTCTCAAAACAACGCGTCGTCAGGGTCTACAACGCATGTGTTTTCCCTTTGTAGTGTCTGAAGAGATTTGTTTTTGCATATGATTGAAGATAAAGGGTTTTCACACAACAAGGCCTAATGCAGTCACATGCAACTGCACTTTTCGCTTGTCATTGATGGGTACAGCCAAGCCACTGTGCAAGGTGTTAATGTGCATCAAGCAGTGCATCAAACAAAGTCCATCATGCGGAACCCACACGTGAGCTGGTTGCAACAAATGACAAGCCTGACGGGTGCTTCATGAAACCAATCTCATCGAGCAATGGTAGCAACTGTTTCAGGTTTTTGGACTGATGAAGGACCTTTGAGCCACAAAGGACGCTACGAACGTAACAAAGGGCATTGCTACGAACGGAGCAAGGACGCTACGAACGGGGCTCCTGGCCTTACTACTAGGAGCAAGGACGCTATACTAGTAACAAAGGGCATCGCCGCATCAGGTTTCTTTGGTCTGCCTCTGAGATTCGTTCAAGTTGCCTTTTTGTGACATCAAACCGCCCGGGGTGTGTGTTTTCAGGCTTTCCCTGCTCCATTTGCTCCGTGCACGTCGAATTGCTTTAACAGAAGTGTTGTGTGAAATGGAAATGGACACAGATGTTTGGAAGCCTTTTGGCTTCAACCTACAACAGGTACGACCTGTGTGATGACCATATTAGTGCACTATAGCATACAGTAGAATATCGTGGTCCCCAAATACATCGAAACAGTGTCCAATACGGAAATGGTACCTATTTGGGGGGGGCTTTAGATACATTACACATCTAACCTCCCCAGGGCGGCCGCCCTTTTCTCATGGTTGCGACCGCATGGGATGCATGGGACGCGTCCCAATGGGACGGTTGGCTCACAGGTTCTGTCAGCATGACTGATGCAGACCGATGCATGCACGTGAAAAATCGAGTTTGTCATAAGACAATCAGTCTATAGCGTATGAACCATGCATGACAAATAGGTCGTCTTAAATATGAAAATAAGTCTATAGCTTGACAGTTGGTATATTTTTCGTGGTCCCCAAGTAGATAGTGGCACGGTTTCCACATGATTCCAATACATGTTCTACATGGGGATCTATTTGGGGGTCTGTATAGATGGCCAAAAGAACTGGAGAGTTGTCCATGCGTGAAAGAAATGCCTGATGATTGCACTGCTTCGTAACTTATAGATTGATGGCAGCAGTGTCCGTATCAATTTGTCAGTGATGATCCATTTTGGGGCGAGTGTTTGCATACTTTGGGATGGTTCTTCCTTTCAGCTTTGGGCAGAACCTCAGACCTTTCAAGGACAAACAAAGGTGCCACGACGCAAAAGGAAGCTACGAACGGGGCTCCTGGCCTTGCTACGAACGGAGCGATCGGACGCGAACCGAACGTCACGGTCGCTGAAGACATCGCTCCACAGCGACCGATGTTCCCGGGGCCACGCCGCAGCGGGCCCAGCAAGCGACCATCCAACCGGCCGAACTTCTTGCTGCCGCAGGAGGAACCCCAGGGCCTTTGGGCAGCTGTTGCGGCGCATGCGGATGGTTCTTTTCATCCGGGTCATAAAGGGTAAAAACCATGGTCATGATAGGAAATGCACCGTAATGCAGACGCTTAATTAATAACCCCCCCATATGAAGAGGTTGTTCAATTCTGTGTAGACAAATGGTTTGTTCTCAATCAATTTTGTGTAGACACGTTACTTGCTAACGGTGCTTCATGGGGATGTGGCCCTCGTGTACGAGGCAAACTTCCTGAGTTCACGCCCAAGCAGTTTTGCCCGGGCCAAGCCCGTAATAATTCTGCTCTCACCCTTAAGGGGTCTTGGTTGCAAAACACACTTGCAAGACTCGTTGAATTGGCCACTCGCCTGCAGCGTCCAGTCTCAAGTGTCGCAGATCAACACATCCTTTCCAGGACTGCCATCCGAACATGGAGAACACTCCATGCACTCAAGTCTCCCTTTGTGTGGCAGGACCCCCAGTTTCCCACACTTGTCGACATCCACCACAACCATAACTGGGTTGAATTCCAATTGCAATCGTGGGACTTTCGTAAACGCCAAGACAGAACTCGGTCATGGAAAGCCAAAATTCAAGTATCAGCTGCACACAACAAGAAGTACATTTACCATCACTTAAAGAACAAGGTCGCAGATGAACCTTCTAATCTTGTTCTTGATGCAAACCAGAACATTGTTTGCCAGCCCAATGAAGCTTTACAGTTGATTAACAGCCAGTGGGATGATATCTTCGCGTCAAACGCTTTGCATGAAGATCCTGTGCGCATTCTCCGTGTTGCCTGGCCTTATATCCAGAAAGATTGCACTCCTTGGCAACCTCCGCCTTTGACTGGGGCAGAGCTTGCCAAAACTATAGCTTCTCGTAAACCGGAAGCCGCTGCTGGATTAGATGGTTGGCGCACGACTGATGTCCAGCACCTTCCTTTGTGCTGCCTGGACGCTATTGCATCCTTTTTTGCCTCTTTAGAAGATGCGCATGGTGCCGATATTCCAAGTGTTTTGGTTTGTGCAAAGCAGGCTATTCTTAATAAGGTTGGTCCTGCTTCACCCCTCAACAAGCGATTAATCACGATTCTTTCACCGCTGCTTTTGGCATACTCGGGCACTAGGTTCAGACACCTCCATGCGTGGCAATCTGAACACGTGCACTCCTCTCTTTTTGGAGGTATTCGAAACAGATCGATGACCGCTGTCAGTAATGGATTGCGCTTAGACATCGGCACTGCACGTGCTTCCTCCGATCATTTGGTCGGAATTAAATTGGACCAATCGAAATGCTTCGACCGCATCATTCCGAGTGTTGCGGGTGCTTTTATGTTGGCTCTCGGCATTCCTCCTGGTATTGTGAATGTTTTCCTTATGATGTATCGAGGCTTGACCAAACACCTGTCTTATAGGGGGTGGATTGCAAAGCAGCACACTACAAATGCAAACGGTGTAGCACAGGGGTGCTCTTTGTCCTTAGTTGCCATCAATGCATACATGCATGTATGGGCATGTTTCGTTCAGCGCATTCCGGAGGTTGTTTCTCGTGTTTTCATTGATGACGCATACCTCTGGGTTCGTATCACTCACATCGATAATTTGCAGATTGCTCTTCGCCTCACTCAGGTCTGGGGAGATTTGGTAGGACAACACCTCAACCACAACAAAAGTGTTCTTTGGGCAACCTCTGCCAAAGCACGCAAGCAAGCAAAAGCTGTTTTTCCACATTTGCCTTTAGCACTTGAATTTGATGTCCTAGGAGCCAAGATTTACACTTCCGACCGTGATGCTTTTGCCTTTGATGCCAATAAAACACAGAAAGTTGTCACCGACATCCGCAATATTGAACTTGCCGATCCCTAGGCCGGTCAAAAGTCACTTGATTGGATCAAAGGTGTTACCACAAATCACCTTTGCTTCACACATTTCAAAGGTTCCGAAACAGTCCATTGACAAAATTCGAAGTGAACTTGTTCGCGTTTTTTGGGATCACAGACCTCACTGGAGATCGCGAATGTTAGTGTTTTGCCTTTTGGCACCTTCCCATCGGGTTGAGCCCATTTGTGCTCGTGCATATTGTTGCATTCTTGACTTTTGGCGTTTCATTCACAGCCATCCTCATCGTATTCAGCAGTGTGTTGAGTTGTTGAGACTTCCGCAACTGCCAAAACATTCTCTTCTTGGTCAGGTTTCTGACGCGCTTCATCTTTTCCACCTGGGTTTTACTCCGATGCTCGACCTTGTCTTTGCGGGAAATCACATTCCCATTTTACATGTAGGGGTGAGGGACATCAAACCCCTCGTTCAAAACCTTGCTGTCCAGTATTGTTATGAACAAGCTGGCAAACAGTCTCGCAAAGACCTCTCCAAACCTCAAGGTTTATTGGACCTGTCATTGTTCAAGACCTTTTATGCCATGTATACAAAACCTTACACAAAGGAACTCGACCTCACATGTCATTTTGAGTCGCAGAGCGTTGGATGCACGGTCACCAACGACCGACGCTGTGCTGCAGGTTACACAGAGTCTAATGCCTGCAGATATTGCAACAGTTCCACAGAATCATTGGCTCACCTGGTCATTGACTGCCCAGGTCCCAAACCTTTGATTGAACCTCCATGTCACGAGTTTGGACCAAATTTTCGTCTTCTCGGACTGTTTGAACATCCTGTTGCAGTCGGCAAGCACCGAACTTCCTACATGCCTATTTTGGAGGAGAACGACTCCCCTTTCCTTCCCGACGCTGATCGCTCTGAAGTGTGGACAGATGGTTCAGTATACTTCACATCGAATTTTTGGCTTACAGTGGCAGGTTACAGTATTGTTTCTGCCCAAGGAGAAGTTCTTGAAGCTGATCGCATTCTCTTCCCGAATTTGTCATCTTACGCGGCAGAGCTTTATGCTGCAACACGAGCTTTTGTTTCAGCATCAACAAATATATCTATTTATACGGACTGCAAGTCAATTGTTGACCAATTTGCTGAACTTCAACTTCACCAACTTGTTCCAAGTACTTGGAGCCACCGCTTTTGGTGGCTTATTATCTTGAGAACTTGGCGGTGCAGAACCAGTTTTTCTGATTGCCCACTGCAATTGATTTGGGTGCCCTCACACGTCGGGGACAATCTGGAGAACGCAGATATTACAGAAGAGATTGCTGCCCGACATGGGACGACTGTTCGTTCCATCATACTCAACAAGGTTGCCGACAAAGCGGCAAAAACTGCTGCTTCCCATGCCGCTGCCATCCACCCCCAAATGTGGAATGCTACCCGCGATGCCGTTTATCAGCGTCAGTTGTTCCTGAGCCGCTGGAATTTCCATATTGGTTTCAATCCTTCTGCTCCTGCTACAGCGGACGACGAACCCGCCACAAGTCTTGACCCTCTTGAGGCTATGAAGAAACGGTTTGGAAGATGGGATTGGATACAGAATGCTTCAGCCTTCTCATGGTCGTCGACTGCCAAGATTGATTGCTCTCAGGGGTGGTTCAAGAAGCTACGCCCGGACGATGTTGACACCTTCTTCCGATTCATGCACAGTTTACACTGGAGAGTCGATGATTCAGCCAAAACGGCATATGTCGAGCTGGCATTTCTCTTTTGGAAAAGAGGCTTTTTCTGCATGAGGTTTCTGCAGCCAATGGTACCTTTCGTGACCTTGTTTTTTGGATCCGACGAATGGTCGTCTTCATCCACAAAACACCCGAGCATGCTGTTTTTCCAGGCCAGCCATGCAATGTTACCCTCAAAACAGAGGGGCGTGCACTTCCACAAGGCGCCATCAATGGCGCCATCCCCAGATTTTCCATTGATGAATTGTTTGATTTTGGTGAGCTTTTGATTGGAGGCTGCTCTAAGCACCTCGCATCCTGGGAGTTCCCTATCTGATTCCGGTTTCGTTTTCGACGTGGTTTTCGTTTCTGTTCCAATTAGTTTTGCGACGCCGTCCGACCAGCGTGTCGGCAGTGACGCTTTCTCACCATCGGATCCACCTGGGGTCTTTCGTGTGGATCGCAAGCGAGAGTGATAGAAGAGGTTGTTCAATTCTTTTGTCGAAGTGGTGGAAGCCACCGGCAAAGTCTCACTGCAGTGTGAGCGCGAGAGGTAGAAGAGGTCTTTCAATTCAACTGGGAGCGGTTGTGTGCCTCAAGAGTCTACATCATGTGTGCTGAGCATGTTCTGCAACCAAAACGTTGGATCGATCAACAGGCTTTAGGCGAACATCAGTGTCATCAGTGGTCAATGAAAAACAAATAGATAAACACATAAAATATATATATATATATATCATGGTGAAGTGTGACCCTGAACAACCCGACCACTGAAGACCCAGCAAGACCCGACTCTGAGGTGGAACCACCTTGGACTCACGCATCACGAATGTTGGACGAATGTGCTTAGACATGTGACATGTGACATGCAATTTGCTTGCACCCCCTGCAGACCAAAGGACAAGTGGACTTGGATCTCTTCCAGAATTCTAGCGATGCTATAGCAGCGCTTTTTCAGTGTTGCGTTGCTGGTCGGGATCGCTGGACGATGGCCCAGCTAGTGGGTTCCGTTCATGGTTGAGACAGAAGCAAAGTAGAGAGCCGCAAGGAAAGTGAGTTGCCGCCAAGGAAGCGCAAAATACGATTCACATCGATTTACACTTCCTGGAACTAAAATGGAAGTGGACACAAGAACTCGTTGTAGAGGAAAATCGGCTTCCAAGTAGCCATGCCATCATCCACTTCCTAGTTTTGTGACCCTGGCAGTGGCCTTTCTCCAACTGTAGTCAAAAAATGTCAAACATACCTGTTTGTGAGATTGTTTGGTATCTCAATAGGATAGCGGTCTACGATTTGGAAGTCAGTGAACTTATGTTTTTTAATGGCTGAATTGCAGGATCTGATTCATTGAGTGTGATTTGTTGTGTCAACAATATGTTCATTGTAAAGGACACAAATGCTCCCAAATGCTCCGGCCCTGGGCCCGTTACTGCAGGCCCCTTCTGAAACACTACTAGTAGCTTCTTGCTCCGTTCGTAGCCAGGAGCTACTAGCGCTACAGATCCACTGACCATCGGACCGCCGGTTTGAGCCACCGAAAACGGGCTCCAGGAGGAGGACAACATGGCTCCCACACCGGAGCTGGAAAGGCACCCGACCTTTGGGCGTGAAGCGACAAGCTTGGTGGCTTGGGGATGCTCTGTCAGTATGCGAACAGAGTGACGACTGGACAGCCTTGGAGTGTCGACTCTGAAAGCGTACTTCGTCGGGACTGGGACACCATGTTTTGTCCATTGCTTTCTGGCCATCCGAGTCTACATGAAAACATGTGACGGAAGACCAAGCGCAGTCACCGCAGTGATTGTGGCAGTTTTTGGGGCAAATGAGATCAAGGTGAACAAGAGTGAACAATGAGGTATGGAGGGAAATTGAGATCATTATTTTGTATGTTTTTCTTGCAGGACCATCCAGACAGGACTTGATAGGTGCATGGGGTTTGGGCTGGGCGCTCCCTGCAGAATTGTGTTTAACCTCTTCCTTTCCGTCTATGTTTTAGGGACCTTGTGGACCACAGAGGTCAGAAGGATGTGTCGCCCCTGTTCATACATGTGTCGCCCCCATATGTGTTTTTGCGTCCAAAGTTGAAATCCCAAATCTTTCGAATCCTCATTCCATGAAGTCCTTTCTTCAGCACCCCAAACTCTCTCTCCACTTGCAGTCAGCCAGGCCCGCGTCAACACGCGCTGCCAGCAGGCCAGGGGCGGCCAGGTGGATCACCTTTGGAGTTGCCGTTTCAGCTTTTGTGTTTTTGTGAAACAAAATCCGTCCTGTACAACCGCATAATTTGTTTATGTTTGTGGAAGATGTAAAGCGACTATTAGCAAGGACGCTATTAGGTGGCCGTTACTACTGTAGCAAGAAGCTACCAACGTAGCTTCTGGAAGATGTAAAGCTATCTTTCCGTTGTCACAACGGTGACCGGGGTCGCCACACCGGCGCGACCGCAAAGCCTGCCGCATGTGGAACAGCATCATTTATTGGACAAGGATGTTTCCTAAGCTTTCTAAATATTCAATTAGTGAAGGAACATAACAAAGCAAATCATTTAAAAGGTCTATTAGTGAAGGAGCATGCCAAAACAAAGCAAAAATCATTTCGAGAGATCTATTAAGGAAAAACATATATGTCTTTAAGAAAGTCCAACAACAACTACTACTACTACCACCACTACCACTACCACTACCACTACCACTACTACTACTACTACTACTACTACTACTACTACTGATGCTACTAATGCTACTACTAATGCTATAGTAATTACAGTTTATACTCTATTTGGATATGACCTCTACGTCGTCCGAAGTGTCCAGACGCAACCCGCGCGTCCGCGCGGGCCTCAGGTCGTCCTTTCAGCGGCAGGTCTCGGATGCTTTGGGTCTTCAACGGCAACCCAGTGGGGGTCAGAGGTGCGGTCAGACGGGGTCTATGGCGAATTGGTTGGATTTGGTGTTTTTCTGTAGACTCTTGAACAAAGTGGATGTACCCTATGGAACAAAAAGAGGTGTTGGAATTCAATGTTGGAGGGATTGTGTACCTCATTAGGGTTCAAAGATGGTGTTGTGTGGCGGTTTACCAAGAAACACTACATGTGAGCGATGATTGAACATGTCTGAACTGCGTACGCTCGTGTGTTTTGCTGAGATTTGAGATCTTCCATCTTTGGTTGCACGGAAGAGACGAAGAACCAATGGATGCCTTCTCGGGGCGCATCCAGCAGCCTCCACGTCGCCCCGCAGGGAGGAGCTCCGACCCCGGAGCGCACCTCAATTGAGGCGAAAGGCGGGGCCGGCCCGGCTGGGCGGGACGGCGTGTGGAGATGGCCTCCACCCTAGTAGTGCGTTTGACAGGCATGAAGAAGGACATTTTGAAGCTGAACCATGTAAAGAACCCATATGGGTTCCCCACCCACGTTTTTGTTCGGGCGTTTGGATGATCTAAGACTCTAAGAACTATTTCTGAAAGTCACTTGTGTGCATGCCTTTAGGAATCAAGCTTGTCCTCATTCTTGAAGTCGCCCGCAGAATCCCACGTCCATGGGTCATGCAAATCGAGTTTGGTTCCCGGCATTTCAGAGTCCTTACACATCCATCAAGAGTTCGTTTTGCATGGCATTTCTATGTAATTAGTTGGTGTTGCTGATGATGGAGACCATCACCAATGTCAAAGATCACCAAGTTTTGCAGAACTAAATACGGTTGGTGATGGTCTTTGAGATGACGGTGTTGCAAAACGAAAACAACGAAGAAAACGGCCAGGAAAACGGACTGGCGGATTCGGTGTCACGGACGGACTCCTTTCTCCGGAGGATTCCGAAGAAAAGCAGCAATGGTTGCATGATTATGCACGGCTTTGCTCCTAGTAGCGAACATTGCTCCGTTCGTAGCGATGCCAGGAGCCCCGTTCGTAGCGTCCGATCGCTCCGTTCGTAGCGATGCCCTTTGCTCCGTTCGTAGCGAACATTGCATTGGTTAACATGCGCACCACTCTGCTATACAACACAAGTATCCGGACCACTCCATCCGCACCTCCCCATTCTCCAAAAAACGTCAGGGGTCTGTCACGACCTCCCCATCCGTCCAACCCGACCCATCTGTCACCGGGAGAGCCCCGTCACGCGCGGTCCGCCCCGCGAGTCGCCGCCCGTCGGATGCGAGGGGCCCCGTCCGAAGAATCCCTTCATCGAGTATGACGCCCGGGAGAAGAGGCTGAACCAGGCGTGGACACGGAAGACACAGAGATCATCTAAAGCAACAAGACCATCGGAAGCCACCCTGTTCATGTTGACTGGTGGGCTTATATGAATGTCCGCAAAAGATTGGAGATGCTGAACCAGGCCCATTGAGCAAGTTCTATTAGAAACGGACACGATTTAATGCAGATTTCACGGATGAATCACAGATATCTTCTGATTCCAGATCACGGTGTTGCCCGCCTTTGCACGCCCCACCGTGCACCGTACACCCATATGTAATGTTCTGATGATCACATCGCTCTGGAATTCTCTCAACAAACACAACAATGTATATAAGTGGCATGTGAGGGAATTCTTATCTTATGGACTCAAGCAAATAATCAAAGCAACCGTAGCACACCAGCACTAGACTCTCCAATAACTACGGTGCTGGCATAGCTAATTTTGGTTTGGCTCGTTTCTAAAGAACTTTTGACATCGCGATGGATTCCTGGCTCAGCCAAGGGGCCATGCATGGCCATGCAGTTCGTCGGATACACCGCAAGGTTCTCGGTGGATCATCCGTGGAACGGGTGCCATTGAGGATGGTGGGTGCATTAGGCCTTTTGGGGATGGCTCTTTTGAGCCGATCCATTGCACGGTCCGTGCCTCCAAAGTGCCTGGTCACTTGGACTTCTCAAACTGCCCACGACCGGCCCTGAAAAACGTGACCGGCCGCTGGTCAGGAGCGGAAATGGCTCCAAGAAGCCAGCGGCTTCCTCGAGCAGCGGCGAAACGAACTCCGGCAGAGTGCCAAGATGAAGCACTTGGACCTCCGGCGCCTGGGGCAGCAGTTCGGGTGGGGGTGGCGCAAACGTACACGTGGAGGGAGGCAGAGTTTGTGGGCGGTGGCGTCGTTGGGGAAAGAGAAGAGATGCATCAGTAGGTTGGAGGCCATCGCTACTAGTTGCAAGAAGCTAGTAGGTTGGAGGCTATCGCCAATGCTCACATTCGTAGCTGCAGTTGCAGTGAATTCTTTGGCTATTGGTGATCCCAGTGGCAGTATGTTGGAGTCTTTGTTGTTCGGGTGTTGTGCTCGATGGAACTGTTGTGAATTGTAGGAACATCTTGAGCATTCTTGAGCGACATTGCGTTGCCACGTCGCAATGCTTGAACAGAATGTGGGCAAGCTCTTGGGACTGTAGGGCAAATTGTCTTCAGCCTCAGTTCTTAGTCACAGCCAGGAGACCCAGATTAAGGAGGATTAACAGGTTTCGTTTGCAGGCAATGTTGATCATTTGTGAGATATATTTTGAGTAGGATGGCCGACCGGATTGCTACTATCTAGTTAGGTTAGTTAGGTTACTTAGTTAGTTAGCTAGCTAGCTAGTTAGTTAGGTGCTTGTATGTATATAACTTTATATAACTAGAAAAAGCGGTGTGTGTGTGTGTTTTGTATCCAAGTTTGTTGCCCAAGAAGAACAAACTATTGCCCAGCTGCCCAGCGGAGTTGTTTGCCGTCGACAGACACTTCCCGAATTTCCTCGACATGGACCGTCCCATGCTTAAAAAAATTCACAGATGGAAGGTCAAGGTGCAAGATGTTGAATGACAGTTCGTCACTCACATTTGATCTTTCCCCTTCCAAGTGAGTTTCTCTGGGCGGTCTATCTCCCCAACTCCATGGAACCGCGGCACCCGCTCCGCTCCGGATCTCGCCCCGAGGAGCGACACGGACGATCGTCTCTATGAGCATCTCGGTGGCGGGACTGGGCTCTGGACGGAAACACGGAAGGAAGTCGGGTTCCTGGACAAAGAGGTGCTGCATATAGAAGTTGATGATGTAAACGTGTAACTTATGCATATATCATATGTATATATATATATTTATACTATGCGGAGCAAAATAAAGAGAGAGAGAGAGAGAGGAAAAAAACGGTTCCAATATGTATATATTATATATATATAGAAAGTAATTGTAGAGTGGACAAGCGGATACATGATATGATATTACATGGCTCCTAACCAGATGCCCTTCGTTGGGGGAGACCAATCCCATCAAGGCCCTGTAATGACTTGATGATACTTGATGTGAAAATCGTCGCTATGGGCCATTGCTATTGACCCACCCAAAGGCAGCGGCTGGGTGTGCAGCCGCTGGGATCATGGAAGGTCCTTGGGATCGTGCTGTTGGATGCAGAACGAGATCCTGCCCAGCGTGGGAGGTCGGTTCCTTTCGTTCAAACTGCCCACACGAGGTCTTGGCAATATGAGGCCTACAAGTTCTTCCAAGATCTTCCAAGTGTTGAGGTGGGTCACTAAACGGGTGAATCCCTTGTGTTCACAAGGATTCTCCGGATCCGAACTCAAACCTCCTCGATTCGAAACTGGAACCTCCGTCCACGTCATTCGCTGCATCCGCCACCACCTTCCGCCAACCCACGAAGGACGCCTTCCGGCCCTGGGCCCACCGGACCCACACGCGCCGAGGAACCGTACCTTTTACGGACCCGCTTCGATGGCCATGAAGGCCCGACAAAGGCGGGGCCCGTGAGGACCGAGAGGAGCGAGAGCCGGCGCAGCAGCGGCGAAATGGACAGTTTGGAGCGCCCTGTGGAGCTGCAAGCTTTAATGTGCTACTAGTAGCGATGGCCTTAAACGGCCTCCAACCTAGTAGCGATGGCCTCCAACCTAGTAGCCCCAAACTGACTGACTGAAACATTACAGGAGAAAACATGTTGCTGTTCGGCTGGTGGTTGTTTCTCTCAATCTGCTTCTCTGCTCAGCAGGAATTTCCCGGCTTTTGTCAGTTCGCCACGGTGTCAGTTCCGACTGAACAATCTGACACACCCTGGAACCAACATGGAAGTGGATGGCAGGGTCCCTTGGAAGAGCATTTTCCTCTACAATAGGGGTAAACTCCACTTCCATGTATGTGAGTTCCAGGGAGTGTCAACTTCCTTTGAGCAGTTTTCAGACCACATCCTGGAATGAACCCTGTCCTCCCTATCCGGGTGTTCCTTGGTCCAATGGTTGGCCTGTGCACATGATCAACGAACAGATGAGCCGTTTGATTCGCATCATCCTGAGCTGCAGGGCTCGTGGTCGCCCTCGTGATGAGCCTCCCAAGGAGGCGCGGTTGCGCCCATGTGGTTGGTTCCACCCCTCGCAAGCAGAACAAACAACATGAAGGCATCACCTAACCCAGCACCTAGGACCTAGGCAAGACTCTCGCGTGTGAGCAATCTAGAAAGAGATGTTTTGCTTGAACTCGAAGAAGAGAAGTTGAGGTTCACTCTCTAATTGTTCGTTTGGTTTACCTCCACAATTCTTCCAACTCTTTTTGACGTCGATTCTTTTCAACCACATGAGGCATTCATGTTGACTGTAACGGTGATGAAGGACTACACTTTGGGTTTGGGTCATAGAGTCATAGATGCAACATTCGCAGCAGGCTCCTGCGAAAGCGCCACTGGTTCATGAAGCATGCTGTACTAGCTAGGACTTGTAGCAGTCATTCCAGCTCAACCAGCAGTTCGGATGAGCAAAACCACAGTTGCACTAGCGCTTTGTGAGACCAAAGGTTCATTCCTTCTCACATATATATATATACATATAACTATTTGCAAGGAATTCATTTTGGTTAACCGTCCAATGTACTTTGCTTATACAGGGCAATCGATGTTGTGCACAGGCCAAAGGCCTTCCTATCACTGCAACCCTCCAAGGATTGGTTGCCCAATAATCCTGATTGAGGTATAAGAACTTAAGAACCGGAGGAACCTGATATAACGCGATCATGCCTCTCTCTCACCTTAGGACGCACGCATCGGAGGCAGCATCATTTGAAATGTTGGGATTAGTTTAGTGACAGTTTTAGCGACACAATGGTTGTTCCAGATGAGGGTTCGAGCATTTCCACAAGTCTTATTGGTGAGACAAGCGCTGAAGCATCAGAGAGTACACCATCGCCTCGATAGGAATTTTCTTGCAGATGGTTTGGTGGAATGAACAAAGTATTCTCTCGCTTTCGCTCCCGCTTCTCAAGTAGAACGCAGTGGATCCTAATGAAGACACAAGTGCTGACTTGCCATTAGCCAACCAGGGTCAGAAACTGTTTTTGCCTGCGTCACTTGTCCTTAAACCCCTTAAACCAAAGGCTTTGCGGCTTTGCGGCTTGACGAACACCCGTGTTGGGTGCCACTGGAGTTCCCCAGCAGAGCGTGAGAACTACAGACATGCTTAAACAACTAAGCACCCCCCAAGGCCGCAGCGCGCTCCACAGCAGGGGGGCAAATATGTGTCAGCTGATGGAGGTTACCTGAAGCAGGGTGCAAGTACCTCCACAAAGCTTCGAACGAGCTGTGGTGCAACTGAGGTCTACAATGCAGACCAGCAAACTGCCTCTTGTAGCCCATGCCATGCATGGAAGTGCACCGAGGAATCCAGCCACTAGGGAAAGAGTCCGGTGCCCCAAAGTTTTAGGAGCCAGGTCGGCCTTGACCGACAAATCCCGCAGCTCCCAACGCAAGGGCTTCTTGGAAGTTCTCACTGGGGTTGTACTCTCGGATCGAAGAGAAAAGTCGCAATACAGTTCTAAGATCTATATGGGTTCGGACTGTTGGACCCAAATCAACGTGTTCCACCACCCACACAGCCTTTCGCAGAAAATAGCACCAAAAAGGAAACCAGCTTGCAACAAAGCATCCGACGAGAGAGGTTGAAGCTGAAAGAAAGCTCCCTGTGGCACCAGCGAGGCTTCAGGTGGCATAGACCAACCCTGTGTCGCAACAGGAAGACAAGCAACATCAATTGCATGCTTACAACTCATGACCCAAAAGCGATGGACGCTCTGAACATGCTTGACATGCTCAGCATGCCGGTTAAGGGCATTGGTACACTTCTGAAAGATGCGGCTCCGATGATCACAAACAGAGGACTTGGCATCCAGGTCAACTAAGGAATTGAGGCGAGAAACTTCACGCAAGTGTACATCTGTAATGCTCCGCCATTGCACATGTGCTTTCACTTTGACAGGCTGTACAGCCAGAACTGGTCGTTGCAAGAGGTGCCACCAAATGCGGGACCAAATGTCATCGTGGCCCTCATAAACATAGGGTTCAAAGTGCTCTCGCCGGCGGAGTAATTTGCTCAAACGATCAAGGACAGCTGCACAATCGGTGTACAACTCAAAGGAAAACAATGTTGGAGTGCTCCAAGGACCGCCATTGCTTCTCCCCTATATGGCGATTGCTCAAGACCAGGCACAAGGCCTTTTTCAAGCAACGAGCTTTTCGAACCCACGACCTGCCGAATGGCATAGCCTGAAATAGCAAAAGTCCGATCATTGTTGAAGAAACATGTGCCATCCGAAAAAATACGCTTGGAGGAGGTTTCCGCAGGTAGCACAAGGTCTGGAAAGTCACCACAAACACGCTGCTTGAGAAGCAGGATATCCTCAGAAGCCTGTGGGAGACCGAGCTGAACTGTGGCCTGATGTTGTGCAACAAGCCATCGCGGCTGAAGACCACATGTTGAAGCAAACATCTTATGCTGGGCACAGTGGAAAAGCCGATGAAAACGACTGTCATCACAGGAACAACACGGGCATTTGGCAGTAGGGACATGCGGTGAGTATTTGCACAAGACATCATTGGTAATATTCTTGCCCCCGACAACTGTGCGGAGAATACCAGTGTCCTGAGGGGTCATACTCTGGAGGCTCTTGCAACAAGGCCCAGGATCAAAACTTGCCAAGCCAAAGTTCTTCCGGTCACTGAGTGAAGCACAAATGTGCCTGCGCCAAGACATCCAATGAAAATATGAAGAGCGCCCCAACTGTCAGTCAACCAGTGACAATGAAGACCTTGATCAAGAACAAGAAGATCCCCACCCTGAGGGGCAATACCAACAGCGCCAAGGGTCTTGCGCAATGCCTGAGCTGGTCCAGACTTGCATACAGCTGAAGAGCTGTGCAGGATGGCCAGAAATTGCGTACGGAATCCTGGGAAGATACGCGTGAAGCACCTCCAGAAACGGCAAGTCTTCACTAGATTGGCGAACTGAGGATCCAGATGTGGTTCAAAGACACTCAGAGCCAACATAGTGGAGCCACCCGAACCAACGTAGCCCAAAGCACGACCGACAGGACCACGCAGCTCCTTCCATTGTCGATTGGTGGTATGAAGGAGTTCAGAGCCGTACAGAGCTTTACCAAGGCCCGAGGCCTGCGCGATAGTGGACCGAAAGGACCGAGGCAAAGTCTTCTTCTTCTGATGCGCCCCAAGCAAGATTTGGCCTTGGACCAACGCTTTGTAGAAGTCTTCTTGGAAACCTTGCCAGTATAGGCCATGTCACACCCTAAATCTGTGCCAGAAAGCTGGATGGGGAAGGACTGCCCACCAACTTGAACATCCCGCAGAGACTTCCGGGTTGTACTGTGCGACCCCCAAAGCCAGCTCTTAGGAACTGACAGGGCCATATGCCAAGAAGCCACAAACCGATCAAGAACAGTCAATGCAGTCTGTAGTTCAGAAACACTGTCCGCAATGATGCCCCAATTATCAGCATAGAAGGCTGTGTCCACATTGCTGTAGTCAGATTGAACCAAACAGGAAGCCAAATATGCAATGGTGGCCATGCAAGCAACAGAAAAGGCACAACCCTCAGGAATACCAATGGAGCTCTCAACACCGACCGGCGAGATCTGTCCCAAGATTTCAATATGCCGTACCAGATGGTGCAAAGCCTCAGCGAAAGCAATAATTGTATGGCCGAGGAAAGCCAATGCGAGCCAAAAGGGCAATCAAAGGCCACCGTGGAATTGCATTGTAACATTTGACAATGTCCAAGACTGCTCCACACTTCTCAACAGATTCAAAACGAGCTTCTTCAAGAGCAAAGGGGGTGTAGGCTGACAAGACATCAGCACCGGATCCAGCCATGCCCCCAGCTATGGAAGGAGGAAGCACGGTGCGCAGAAGCGTGACCAACTCTATACAGGCGACTCAGAACTGTAATAGGCCGAGTGTCTAAAGGATCAGATGGTGCTTCGCTAGTCTTGGCCAGAAGGGTAACCCTGGCTTGCAGGAGCCGAGAAGGCCACCCATCTCCAGCTTCGGCTGTGCGAAAAAGAGTAAAGAGCCACTGTAGAAGGGGTCCTCTCTTGATGCGGAGGTCTTCCACCGAAAACCCGCAGCTGCCCCGCGCACTGCGGGGGTTAACACCCTTCAACATTTCACGCCAAGAGTCCTCAGTGAAGTCCTCGTATTCGCAGGATGAACAGTCCTCCAATTGCGTGATGAAGGAACATGCCTCATCCCAATCGCTAAGCGAAGAATCAGGATCATCCCGTCCCCAGTATTGGGACCAAGCTTCACCAGCCAGCTTGCACATCTTCTGGACATCGACAGTAAATTGCTTTTGAGAAATGTCATATCCGTAGATCGAAGCTTGAGAGGTTGATCAAAATGAAGAACCTGGCCGTCAATCTTTTTCAGGAAGACTTGCTGGCCTTGGAAGGAAATTGGCAGGCCAGTGACAAACCCGGACACATCATTCGAGCAACGAACACTGGTGAGACCCAGCTTGGGCCACTTGTGTCGACTTACACTGGCTCGAACGGAAGAAACCAAGGCAGTCAAGGGCGGAACCTGCTGTTCCCGAATGGAAGCGAAAGCCTTACGACCTCCTTTCGCACAATCAGCCTGAAGAGCTGCAGAGTACTTACGGCAGGCTGCAAACCGAGCTTGTTGCTCCAAGGTCTTGACACACGTGGAAAACTCGGCATAAAGTGCACAAACAAAAGTTCGATCAGGCAGCTCACCCTAAGTCACCCAAATTAGTGATTTTACTAACCGTAAAATTTACGTAAATTTTGGTTTACTAAGGAAAGTTTACGTAAAAATTACGTAAATGTAATAGTAAATCCAATTAGGTTATGAGTAAATTTTTCTGAGCATGATTTTGAAGCAGAAAATGTCTCAATTTATGTGAGTTGGCTGTGTCCAAAGAGCAATGTTTTCTACGAGGATATTTGCGCTATGGATTTTTGTTTTTGTTGACTGAGCATGCCAGGAGGTGTGGACTTTGCCTTTACTTGAAGGGATTGCATTTACTTGAGCATGTGTACCC